CGGCAAGCACTGAGCGGTAACCGACACTTTTGCACAATGCTATAAGGATGCCAGTGTATCTGCTGATGGCTCATTTTGCTTTGTGCGACACGGCGGTAGGTCTCGATGAATGTCTGGGCTTCTTGCACTGCTCGGGTAGCCACCACGTCATCCAACCACGGGCTCTTTGCGTCATCTGTTTGGATGAAGTTTGGCCAATGGCAAAGAAAATCGTGCTTTTCGTGGCTGTTGTTCTCGTTCCAGGCGGCTTCTAGTTCTGCTTGCTGTGCTTTGTGGAAATTGTAGTCAGGATGAGTTTCTGGATGTATCCATGCGAGAAAGTGTTTCACGTCGTCGAACTCGATAGTTCGGTTGTTCAATTTCTCCGCGAGTTCGTGGAGCGGTTGCTGCCAAATGGATGCACTGTAGACGTTGCAGTGAAAGTGCGGCGTCGAATTTGTTTGATATTCGATGGCGCCACAGAGGCCGCGCACGAGGCCGAACAACCCCCCGGTGACATGGCAGCCGTTCCCGCTGGCATCCCGGCAGTCACAGGCGGGACAACGAAAGCACATGCGAATGCCGAGCAGCTTTGCGAAAATGCAACGAACAACGGTTTGGAAGCTGAGAACTACGGCCCACGGGTCTCTGGCTGTCAGTTGCCGTCTGGTATCATAGGGGGGACGAACATGGTTGCATTGGCGGATTCCCATATTTCTGGGCAGGTCCGCTTTCCGAAGACCGTGCTGCCTGGGTCGGCTTGTCGGTATCGAGAAAATTTGACGCACAGCGCATTGTGGCGTGAGGTGGGTGAAATTGTGATGAAAAGAGGTTCTCCCAGCTCCACTCTGGCTCCAAAGAGAAATCGACCGATGCGACGGCGAGTTTCTATGGTTCCGGGCATATTTCTTTGCATGCTGCGAACGTCTTGCAAGAGGTGGTGCTCTTCTGACGTCAAGCCTTTGGCGTAGGGCAACTTTCTAGTATCAAAGTGTATGGGTTTGTATTGACCACTAGCGGTTAAGTACGTGCCACTGCGCAACTTGCTATAGAGCCCTTTTGCTGCTTCCACCCACGAAGCGGTAGGGGTTGCTTGAACGCAGTCTCTCTGGCTTGGTCTTTTTCGCCAGAGAATACCATTGCAGACTGACTGCCATTTGAACGTCAGCCGTCGCAAACCAGGTACAAAGTCCCAGGAGTTACGAATAGAGCTCTCAACACGGCCGGCCAACAACTTCAAGTGCGCCAGAGGATTTAAGTTTGGCGCATGCACTGGGCGTCGAGGTCTTGTTTCGTGGGGAAAATCAGGGCCACTGACAGGTGCTGGAAGGCTGAATGGGAATGCCCATGGTAAAAAATCGTTTTGCCATTGGTCCCAAAAAGTATGCCCGGTTTCGACCGTGACTTGATCGGCAGCGTGTGCAAGTTCTTGTAACCTTTCTAGATCTGGCTCCCTCCAGTCAGAAGCTGCGTAGTCTTGGGATAGGACGTTTGGTCGATGTACTCCAGTGAAAGCTTGGCCATCCAGTGCTGCGGACGCCGCCGTTTCCGGCGTCGCATGCTTCTGCGGCGGCGCTGTTCGGCTGGTTTGCGAGCGCATGCTTGCGGACAAGGTTTTTGCAGTGCCTACCGCTGCAACGGACACGAACGGTTGGACGCATTTTTGGTCGGCCATCGTCCGAGTTTGACTGCTCGTTTTCTCTGACCCCGCGACCTCGGCGACGGCAATGCAGGGGTTGTCGTCGGCTGCGACAACAATCGATGCGCCCCGAGCGATGCTCTGGGCGTTGTTGGAGGCCACAACTGAGAGCTCGGTTGGTGTGGTGGAGACTGTGGTGCGTGCAAGTGCATGCTGGCTCTGACTAGGATCACGAGAAAGCTCGCTAGGCAGTAGCCGCGTGCCCATGATCAGGCTATGGTCGTCGGTCGTGACGATGCTATGGTCGCCACTTGCAGTGTCTACGGTTACCTTTGACAGCTTTGCGTCGGGACATACCTCTGCAACGGGCTTTCAAGCTTGGCCACTGTGCCGTGCACTTGCTGGTGGGCTTTGCTTTGGCGCTGCCGGACGCGAGCGCGAAGACTTGGTGGGTCGCGCTTTGTGGGTGGATTGCGCCGACGAGAGTGGCGCGGCCACAGGCACGTCTTCGAGAATGCCTTCCCCGAGCGGCATTGTCTCTTCCGTGCCATATATATTTGTGACCCGTTGTTTCACTTCTTCTTTTGCTTTCTCCGGGGAGATGTGATTGTCACACATTGGATGCTGCAAGTCGATCAAATGTTGCAACAATGCAACGACCACCCATGGTCGGATCCGTGCGCCGGCCACCCACTCTATCGCCTCATTGTGACGCATGCCTTTCACAGTAATCTTAACCAGGGCTTGCAGAACTTTGGGCTTCTGCGGCAAGTTTGTCCACGGCATGCTAGTGTTTGCTTGTGGAGCGAACGCTTGCAAGACTTCTTCCCAAGGTAAGCTAAATGAGGAAACATTACCTCGAACGGCAGAACGATGCTCCGCGCGGTGGAGGGTTTCTTCCACCAGGTGCCCTCTGTCTGCTTCTACATAATACGTGACGACGGACGTCCACACTGGGCTAGCGGCGGCTGCTTCTATCCACCGCACTTTGTGTTTGTATAACAACTCTGTGGGGTAGCCGTACCAGTTGTCATTGGCTAGAGCTTGTGGAACTGCAAGAACATGTTTGTCGAACATCTGCACCAGGCATTGGTGGCAGATAGGAAGCTCACATGTTTCGCAAAGCTGCCCATTGCCTACATCACAAGCTGTGCAGCGCAAGTCTTCTGGGCAACACACAATCTTTTGGCCATTGTATAGAGAGGCAGGCAAAAGGCGCGACCATTCATGTGCGTCAAAGCGGTCACGGACGCAAGCACTGGTGGCGTACTGCTTCATGTATGTATCCAAATTCCAGTTGCAGGTGAAGCTTTCTAGAGAAAGGGAACCAAACAACTCCGCTGCGGACAAATAGGCAATGTCCCCAGCAGCACCCCCGGCATGGATGCGAGCACAGCATGCACATATCAAGGCTTCGCACGACGTCTCCTGCAATTCTTTCTGCAGTCGTCGCAGGGTTCGACGATCCACACTCCAACCGACCTGTGGCACTTGTTGATCTTCTTTCTGCAACAAGGCATTCACGTATTGGCTGGGAATTGCGAGCTCGGCCGAGCCTCCGGCTGCGCGATGCGCTGCCTCCTCGAAGACTGCGTGATGGTTTTCTTTCAGGTGCGCCCACAAGCACGTGGCAGCATTGCCGCAGCAGGCTCTGGCTGAGTGTGACCAAGTCGTGCCTTCTATGCGCCAGACTTTTTCTTTTGACCAGTGGGGATGACATGGTTGCACATCAGAAGCCCACTGACAACCGTCGAACGCACAATGCACTGCGGGATACACTAATCCAGAGTTTGAACCTAATTTTTGCAAGTCTTTGTCACTCAACACGCATGGCAATAAAGGGCGTAACCGGAAGTGCGTCGCCAAGTGCTTGGCGCTGTCTATTGCGCGGTCCTCTATCGTCACCCGGCTTTTATGTGGTTCGACGACCGCTGGTAGGTCTGCGTCATTGGACCTTCCACTAGATTCGGAATCCCACGACAGCACACTGTCCAAGTCCACGTCCGTGGCCGTTCCTTCGGATTCTTCCACTGCGTTGGACTGTGGCCAGACGTCGTCTGCCCCCCTCTGCACGGTGGATCTTGGATCTGTGTGTTGCTGTGCATCGGTGGCTGCGGTTGCTGTCGGTGGATGCGAGGCCACATGGTCTTCTTGTTCGATGGCTCCGTCACAGCGCGCAGACGTCTCGTGCTTGCAGGAGCTATGTTCCGCGCAACTTGGCTGGAAATGCTGCGCGATGCGCACGCCTGTCCGGCGACGTCGTGCTGGTCTGGAAGAGCCCTGGCACACACCGTCTGTGGTGGGCTTGTCGATCTCGCCGTCGAGCTCCGCCGTGCTTCCTCTGCGTGAGCGATGCTCTTGCGGCAAACTTTGCGGTGGCTCGCACGGCGGCGGCATGGGTGGCAGAGGCGTCTCTAGAGTGTCCGCTGCCCGCTGCAAGACGGCGTCAGCTCCGGCGCGTTTCCACTCCAGTGTCCAGGTGGTGTCCGGAAACGGCGGCCGCAGCGACGCAGATCTGTCCACTATGTCGTAATGGCCGGTGACGCCGATTTGGCGGTGCAGAAGTTCTAACACTTGTGGATGTTCTTGTAGTCTTGCATGGGCTTCTTGGTCACTGACAATTGCTTGGTCTCGCACCCACAGGTTGTGGTCCACGTCCTGACTCCAAATCAGGCAGTGAAAATCGAATGTCTCTGCGAGCGCCCATAGTTCGACGAAAGACCCATGGTGGATGGAGTCCAAGGCACGCGGTTTCTGTAGCACCGCAACTAGCTTGCTCAAAAGCACAATCTCTGAGTCCGTGAGCTCTGCTAAGCTCGGGTTGGATTTGTGCGCGCGCAGAAGATACTGCTTACGCAACTCTAGTTCTCGATCATCGAAGGGCACGCAGGCAAGCTGAACGTCTTCTGCCTTTGGACCATATTTCTGATTGCACAACCACTCCAACGCCTGCAGGTATAATTCTGCGGCGCGCGTTATCGACCACGTGTTCCAATTGCTGCAGTGCCGACTGACGGCATGAAAGAAGCACCATCCGTCGCCGGGCACTTTGGTGATGTCACATCCGATCCGAGCTTGCGCCAGCTGATCCAAGTCAACAACTTCTTCTGCGGACTGGTTGTGCGCCGGGCTGTATTCCGACGTCCACAAAGCATACTGTGTAACATTAGCTTCAACTTCACTTTTCTGCTTCAAAGGTGTTGGGTTCGAAGTCTCAGCTAGCGTGGCAGGGTCAGCATGTGAGCAAGTTGCATTGTCCACGTCTTTCTTTTCTGTCCTCGTCCTTTTTGTTCGGTGCATCGTATTCCCATGCAGTGCCCGCATCAATTGATTACGTAGTTTGCGAGCAACCCACCACATGTGGTTGGCTTGAAAAGTGTCTTTGTAGCTTACAGTATGAACACAGTGTAAGGTGCCGGGACTCACGACCACCAACACTGCCAACAACACTTGCGTCCTATACAGCGGCTGTGTTTGTCGCCGTCGTGCTTTGACGCGACTTCTGCCTGCGACGCGGGCTTTCTTGATCCAACCCGTCGGACACCGACCCTTTGCGAGAGCTCGCAGTGCTTGGCATGCAAAGACACAACTGAAGAGGTGGACGACAAACACTGGGTTTATTCGATTAGTGGTAGCACTTACGAACGCAGACACTAAGGCTAGGCCCCAGGCGAGCATCGTGTATCGATCTGGAATTCTACGGGTCCAGTGTGTGTGCTTGTTGTCTGCTGGACTTGCTTTGCCGGATTTGGCGTGCCGGACATGGCGGCCACGTCGGCGCAGGTTGCATCTGCATCCTTCGACCAGAGTGATCCTCCAAACTGTCGAGCAGCGCACGGCAAAACTTCTGTCTTGTTCACTGACAAGTTTACTTGCAACCACACACCACTTCGTCATAGCTGCACTAACGAACGCAGGCAGGAACGCCGTGCTTCGGGTGAGTGCAGTGATTTTGTAGGTCGAGGGTGTGTGCATGTTGCCTGCGTGCACTGCTAGGCTGGATGTGGTGGGTCGGACATCGCAGCTTTGTCGGCGACGAAGCCGTGTCTGCCAGTCGCCGAAAGCGACCCCGCAAAACATCCAGCACCATGTGGCAAAACTCGCTGCTCGTTGACAAACGAGTCGATTTGCAGCCAGATACCACTGTCTCATGGTTGTCCTCTTTGGGTCCGTGAGCTACAGTGAAGTGAAGTTCTGACTGCTTGCGTTAGTCTGTAGTTTCTTTACCTAGTCACTCTGACACTGTGGCTGCCAGGACGCCTAGAATTCAGCTACCGCGATTGCTAGTTCGGTTACCTGTCGTTGACTTACGGGGATGGAAAAACCTATTCGTGTCCTCTATGTGAATGACTGTTGTAGTGGACTTCGTGTACGTCGCCGTAGCGACACCGACCTATGTTGGTGTTGTTGCACCTAGCTTCTGGCTTTGGACCGCAACAGTGCAGCGACAACGAACGACGCTGCGACCGCGCACACCTGCACTTGCAGGTTCGACGGTGTTTATGTTCATCACTCACGAGTGGCTTCTCACCTTGGTTCCCTGCGTTTTTTGTTTGGTTTACTTCGTACTTCACAGTCTGGTTTCAGTTTCAGTCAATCGTTCTCCTTCCTTGTGTTAGTCTTCTAAACACGTCGTTGCCACCTCGTCTGGACACAACCCATGCCCTCTCGTCAAACACGCCAAACTCGCTGGCCTCTCCACCGTGCTGCGAGAAAACGACGGGATCGTCGTAGAGCACCTGGCACATGGTTTGCACGCTGGAGACGGTGTCACAGACTGTTGACAGAAAACTAGAGCTGGCAGTTCTCTCCTGTCTTTGTCAAGCGAGCCATCCAGTCTGTGCAGTTCAGTCTCTCTTAAGCGAGCCATGCAGTCTGTGCAGTTCAGTCTCTCGTAAGCGAGCCACGGTGAGTCTCTGTTAAGCGAGCCATCCAGTCTGTGCAGTTCAGTCTCTCTTAAGCGAGCCATGCAGTCTGTGCAGTTCAGTCTCTCGTAAGCGAGCCACGGTGAGTCGCTCACAGTCAACTGTCTCTCGTCTCTCTGGCAGTCACTTCAGTCCAGTCTGTCTGAAGCAAGCCGGGCAAACAGAAAGGTTTTGTAGTAGAACTACGTCAACGATAATCGTTTCGAGTGCGGTGGATTGTTTTTCGAGGCAATAAACTCATGTAATAGGTGATATGTTTCAATCTAGCACTCACTTCAGTCCTGTTTATCTTACGTGAGTCGGGCTAACACAGATATACGGTGGGTTGTTATCTTACGCGAGCCGGGCGAACACAGATGTTTGGTGGGTTGTGTTTTGTAGCAAAACTATGTCATGGACGAGTTTGGTAGGGTATTTTTTGGACGAAAACTAACCTATGTCATACGTGACCTTTGACGGAGACGTCGACGCGATCGAGGATGTTTGAGTCCCGCTGGGCCTCTTAACCTTGTGCCTGGCTGTGGCAGTGTTCGACGGCTCACCCGACCTTCGGTGCACTGACTGTGCACCCGGGCGGTCAGCCCCCTTCTTGCGAAGGATGCTGCCGGGACGCCCGAAGTCCCGGCCCCCGTCCTGCGCGAGGGTGGGAGAGCGATGCTCCCCCACAACCTTTTAGCCGACGCAGAGGTAGAGACAGAGACAACTACCGACAAATACCGCGACGGAGACAGGGACGAAGACCGAGGCAAACACTGAGGGGACAAGGAGAAACACAGAGAGAGAGAGAGAGAAGAGAAAGGGAAGGAGAAAGAGAATGACAGCAAGAGATACAGAAAGAGGAAGCGAGAGACAGAGAGAGATACCAAGACGGAGACAGCGAAAAGGGAGAGAGAGGATGACAAATACCAAGACAAAGCGACAGAGAAAGAGAGAGAGTACTCAGCCCTGCACACCCTCATCGTCCGCGCGTTTCACACAAACCCTCACCCTGCTTGGCCGGCGCCCGGCTGTCAGGCGTAAGCCTCTTAAATCCGGGCGCCGGCCAGGACGCCCGTGGCATGCCCGGAGGGCCTTCGGTGGTAACCGAAGGTTATAGACGCTCGCCCCCCCAACCGCCGACCCTCGTCACCAAAACGGGGGGACCACCGGGTCACTGAAGCCCCTGTAATTTACAGTGTATCGTGTGTGTGAGGTATAAAAAACACTGTGTTTTACAGGGTTTATTGCGCATATCGAAGTACGACGCGGGGAAAAGGGAGAAATGCAAAAATGCTGTGTTTTTCAAGGGTGGTGTCGGTAATGCGCGCCGGGCGGACAGGCTTAATCGACATTTTGTGGGCAGAGGCCCTCCAGACGACTTACATTGCCTAACATATCCTCAACATAGGCCCAAGATAGCCAACATATCCCCAACATATGCCCAACATAGCCTCCAAGATGGCTCAACGTAGGGCCAACATAGGCCAACATGGGGCCAACATAGGCCCAACATAGGCCCAACCTAGGCCAACATAGGCCAACATAGGCCTAACATAGGCCAACGTAGGCCCAACATAGGCTCAACATGGGGTCCAGATGTGCCCAACATAGACCGCGTGGGCCCCACTTGGCCCAACCTAGGGCCAAGATGCGCACCAGATAGCTTAACTTTGCTCAATATAGGGCCCCGTCTCCGACGCGGACCAGTTTCCGGCACCACCCAGGGCCCAGTATGCCCCCGATAGCTTAACGTGCGCTACACAGACCCAAGTGGGCCGGCGCCCGGCTGTTAGGCGTAAGCCTTGAAATAATATTTGGGTCCCTTGTGTCCATGTCCCGCACAAAACCACCAAAACCAAGCAGGGCAATAGCAACCTCACTAAAACCCAAGCAGGAACCTAGCCACTTCACCTGACTACCTTCCTGCTTGGTTTTTGGGTGTGGTGGGCACTTTCCTGCCAAGTTCTTGGTGTGGTGGCTACTTTCCCACCTGGCTTTTGGTGTGATGGCTATTGGTGTGGTGGCTGCTTTTCTGTGTGGGTTGTGGTATGGTATGGTGGCTACGTTTCTGCTTGGTCTTTGGTGTGGTGGCTACTTTCCTGCCCGGTTGTTGCGGTGGCTACTTGCCTGCCTTGTTTTTGGTGTGGTGGTTGTTGGTGTGGTTGCCACTTGCCTGCCTGGTTTTGGTTTGGTGGCTACTTTTCTGCGTGAAGTTCAGTGCGTTGTCTTGTGTTTTGCCTGTTGTTGAATCGCCATGACTCGCCCCTGTCTAAAGTAGCAGGGTGACGACGTATACCACCAGAGACGAACACGATTTTCACGAGGGTCGGCATACCCTAAAAAACAAAAAACATATCCCAAAAATATTTCGCGAACACACAGGTGTACCTGGAATAAGTAAATAAGACACCACGGATGAATCAACAGTGTTTACACAAGTGGGCCGCACAAGACCTTTTGCTGTATCTGATTGGGGTTCCGAACTGTAAGTCTCTACCGTCCCTTAACATCCAAAGGAACTGCCTTTGCAATAATTTTTGGCATATTTCATGTCACTCTTTTTCGTGGAACCCCTTCTAGCAAACCCCTAAACAAAAGTGAGGCCACTGATTATCCGGTAACACACTGGTCGCGCAATCTTGGTTAATTAAGGAGGACACATGATGAAATTGGATACCACTGATGTGTTATCAAAGGAAGTTTAGGGTGCAAAACTTCCGTGTTACGGACTTTCAACAGCTACTACTACTACTACTACTACTACTACTACTACTACTACTTCTCCTACTTCTCCTCATCAGCTTTAGCTCCAGTCAGCTCTAGCTTTAGTTATCTCTAACTCCAGTTAGCTCTAGCTTTAGTCAGCTCTAAATCCAGTCAGCTCTACCTTTAGTTTGCTCTAACTCCAGTCAGTTCTAGCTTTAGTTAGCTGTAGTTTCAGTCAGCTCTTCAACATGCATTTTGGAAGGAAGTCGCGTACAAAATGCGTGGTTCAACAGCTCTAGCTCTGGTTAGCTCTGTTCCAGTTAACTCTTCAACATGAATTTTGGAAGGAAGTCGAAGTCGCGTACAAAATGCGTGTTTCAACTTAGCTAGCTTCAAGAGTAGTGCTCTGAGGAGAAGCCGCGGATAGGTCCCAATCATACGGGAAACAAGGGCGGATCCTGGTACGGTACATGGGTACTGTGGTACGGTACGGCACGGTACGCTGGTACGGTACGCTGGTACGGTACGCTGGTACGGTACGCTGACGGTACGGTACGGTACGCTGGTACGGTACGGTACGCTGGTACGGTACGGTACGGTACGGTACGATGGTACGGTACGGTACGTGGTACGGTATGCGGTGCGGTATGGTGCGCTATGATGTGACACGGCACGGTTGGTATGGTGCTGCGATAAGTTATATACCGTCGGAAGGATCTCTACAATGCGACGTGTCCACAGGTGTTTGAAGCAGTTCGTTTCTCATTCGTCTCGTTCCGCTGCGTTCTGTTCAGTGAACAACTGCGCTGTTCGGCAGCTGTGGACTGCAACTGGTTTGGCCCGGCTGGATCTCTTGAGCAAATGTCTTGCACAATTGCATCCCCTGGATTCCAAATGCCGGAACCAGAAAAGTCTGGAAATGGGAAACCAAAATTTGGTCAGCTGGTTTCCTCAATCATCAGTTGGCGCTGGTTGCCAAGTCTGCATCAAATTCGAGACAGATTGCAACTCCTCAACTTCAGAGTCCGTCTCAAACCTGAAAACGGACAACACTGCCAGCAGGAAGCCATAACGCACGGTGTTGCAAACCTCATCACGCACGCACGCAAAGAAGGTATGTTTGTTCCTCCTTCATTCATCGTCGCTGAATGACAATTACCATTCTTTTCTTTCAATCAATTGCAGATCACCGCAAATCAAATCACAACAACTAGGGCCGCAACATGTTGCCGGCCAGGTCGGCAAGTTGCTTCTGCGAGACATGTGAGTGCACATTGACCTTCAGCTGGTCAACGGAAAATCCCTGCAGAGCCATTAGCTCCATTCCTGAATCAACTTGTCAACTAACTCAACTAACTAACTATACATTGTTTTGCAAATTGCAAGTTGCCAGCAAACAAGTCTCTTCCAACTTCCAACTTTCAACACACTGTCCTATCAGCAGCCGTCGCCTTTGGACATGCCAAAGCTTGGATCCTGGCAGGATTGTCGGCACAACCTGCGCAGCAATACCATGGTGACCGACCAAACAGACTCAACACTGACAACTGCTATGTAGGCTGGTGCTTTCTCCCACATTCATTTGTGCAAACACTCACGCGCCTTTGATCCCACGGTGGACGTGGGTAAGCGAGAAGCCGATTGCGAAACGTCCACAAACAGGATCTTCTTTTCGGGGAGATCGATTCTGCTGTTCATGAGCTCGATGAAGCACAATACCTTTCAGCAAATACACAATGAATCATTCAGACTGGACTGAAATGGGAGCATTCAGTCGAGTCTACACTCTGACTCTAGACTCTAGACTGTAAGATTTCAAGATAGCAGAAATCAGTGAACTCAGTAAACTATGAGACTTGAGACCATGTAATTGATGGAATTGATGGACCCAAGTGTGCCAAGATTGCGCCACGATACTTCTTTCTCACGCGCTGGAAGTATGCCAAACCAGGGTGACTTTGAGAGCTCTTCACTTGGCGTAAGTGGCCACTTTACACCATCTCAGTATTCAAAGATTAAAAATAAAAACAAAAAGACATCAGTTTTCAGTTTTCAGTGTAGTGTACAGTGCAGTGTTTACAGCTTACAGCAGTTTTGCCGCTTGGAAATTTGCAATTCTTTGAAACCTTGTGGCAAGGGGCATTTCTCTGCCAGAGCTGAATGGACTTCAGGCCATTTGCCAGACTCTGCTTTTTGTTTCTCCTTCTCTTCAGCGTCCTGCTTGGCTCTGCGCTCTTGTCGTCGACAAAGCTCATCCGTCAACTGCTGCACATCATCGTCCAAAATGAAATCATCCTGACAAATTCACGATGCTTCATCCGCAGAAGTGGTCAGTGACAGAAATGTTCACGCTGTTGGGAACTGGAACTGACAAGTCTCAGTTTTGAGTCTGAGTCTTAGTAGTTTTAGTTAAGTTGGGCGAACAGGCTAGCTTGACATGCGGGTCGTAGGCCCCTGGCCGTTTTGGTCGTGAGCGTGCCCCGCATGCAGTCAATCCTATTCTCGATCTTGGCAACCATTTGCGCAACAGGCTCAGCAAAGCAAGGCAAACCACCGCCAGGATGCTGAATGCCAATGATGTAGTACCGGGTGCGGCGTTGTGGTAGCTGGAAGTCAGATGCTTTCAATTTGCAGGCGCACACTGCGTAACCAAGTTCCCGAATCTTTTCCAACACAACCTCCAGGTTGGTCCTTACAGTACAGATAGTATAAGTCCAAGGAGTATGACGTCATAGTTGCAGTTACGGTCACAGTCACAGTCTAGTCTTTAGTAGGGTAGTAGGGCCTTAGTTATGTTAATTTCTATTTGACATAAATTTTAAATAAATAGATTCTATTTCTCCAAAGCCTACGAGTCTATATATAGAGTCTACAGCCATAGTCGTTGCTGTAGTGTAGTCATGTGTCATAGGTCACAGACAGAGTCATATAGCACTGCACAATACACAGTACACACAGCAGATGTGATGTGATTGGAGGGAATATTGAGTCTCGAGCGGTTTCTGTTCCTCCTCGGAGTTCTGCCCTGGCGCTGCGTCAATGCTGTCAACATTCTCCAAAATTACAATAGCAGGCTGTGTAGTTTTGATGATGAAGAGGACGCCACGGAATGTCGCTGCTGTAGAGCAATCCTCATCATCACCATTTAGACTTGGCTCGACGTGTATTAAAACCTTCAAGCCTCTTTGTCATTTAATTAGAATCAGGATTTCAAGAGTCAAAATCAAGAAGTCAAATGTCCAAACTTCCAAACTTCACATCACTTGTCCTTGTCCTCAGAGATACAATTCAGATTTGTCAGGAACTCTGTGTTCATTCTTGATACCGACCTAGTCACGGCGATTGCGAGCAAGAAACATTTACAAATTACAGTACACTGCTTGCACTGACGCGCATCACTTCGACTGCTAGGCATTTGCAGCCGAGTGACTTGCAGCTGAAGCCGGCAGTGAAAACTGAAATTTGGCCGTTACTCGTCTCAAGAGCCTAATCACTAGTCACGAGTCACTAGGCAACCAACCATCAACAGCTGAACAGCAGCAGCAAAAATAATCACAACTGCCGCAAAGGCACACAGGCACCGCTGCTTTGCGTCAGACAGCTTTGTAATGTCTTCAAAAAGACAGGGACACTCCTGTTCAACATTTATCAAAATAGGTTCATGATTCATGATTCATATGCCATGTTCAGTCGTACCCAGCCAATGAAACACAATGAAAGCCACATCCGCTCCCCCCTCCCAATCCATCCCCCCTTTTCCCCCCCCCCCCCCCAAAAAAAAACAAAAAAAACCCCCCCCCCCCCCCCCCCCGCAAACAAACGTCCTCATTTCCAAGCATACTGGGCAACACACACTTGTACAAGAACTTCTGCTTGGCAGGCGAAATCTCACATAGGAAGACTGGCAGCACCTGGTACAGAGTACAGAAGGAGAAAATGGACCCTACCCTCTAGGCCCCTTACTGAGATACTGAAGCAAGCAGTTGAACTGTTGAAGTTGAACTATTGATAAACTCTGATAAACAGACACCAGTCCTGCCTCCAAGCATTCTTCGAAGCAATGCACAAATGATCGACTTATGGTCTGAGTCAGGAAATGTGCTACCAATTCAAAACTTCCTGTTCCTGAACACGCTGACATGAGAAACAGCTTGCGAGGAAGTGTGCCAAATGTCAACTCCAGCAGTGGCTTCCCACATTCGACAGTCAGTCTGGAAAGCAGGTCCTAAGTCGGTGGCCGGTGTGATTGTTGGACTTGCTGTGAAATTGAAAGCAACACGTCAAGGCTGAGCAAAAGACATCTCCGAAGTACTCCAACAAATTCGGTTCGTCAATATCATCGTCCATCTCAGCCCTGACGCGATCTTGGCCAGCTTCATCGTTTGCATCCATTGCCTCATCATCTTGCTCTGTCTTGATCCCTTGGGTGGCTGCCGATGTGTCCATCTGGTTCTGAGACTCTTCCGTGTCCATGTGGCTCTGTCCATCATGTGGCTCCCTCATGATCTCAGCGTCTTTGGGATTGGGATGATGTTCACCATCATTGGCGCCACCCCCGGTCCCTTGACCATCGTCAGCTGCAGGCTTCACCTCAGCCTCAGCGTTCTTTGGTGCTGACTCTGACATGTTCTTTGGGTTCTGCATTTGCGGATGCCCTGCGTCTGCATCGGCTGAAAGCTTCTTGACTTCAACTTCAACTTCAAGTTGTGTTTCCAATGTCTCAGTCGCAGTCTCAATCTTCCGTCTCTTCTCTTCTTCAGCCTCAGTCTCCTTTGTCTCAACTTCAACAGTGGAACGCTGTAACTCTGTCTCCTGCGGACCACCGTCTGCATCCTTGGCCAAATCCTTGTCCTCAGGCTCAGACACCGACATTGTTTCCGGGCCAGGCACCGCAGTGGCCAGTGAACCATGATGTTCTGTCACTGTAGTAGAGACAGTGTCTGGAACCGTTGGCTCAACATCATCGACCATTTTTTCAGGCTGCCCAACTGTAGTCAAACCAACATCATCCGCGTTCTCCTCTTCAGGCTTGCTGGCTGCAGCAGCACCCACGCCACCTGCTGACTGTGAAACTGGCACGAACAGACATGGCGAACACAGCTTGCAAACGGAACATAACAGCACAGGCAATTTTGTGATGCTTGATACTTGTTCGTTGTAAGTTACAACTACTTACAACTTGTAGTGAAGTGAAATCACAAAAGAGGAGAATTGCCACCGTGATGGCCTTCGCCACTGTCCAATATAGCTTCCAGTTCTCGTTCCACTGCACACACTGTTCTTGGGCTTGCCCCCTCTTCCGTTCTGACTACCATGTCCATGTCCACATCGGCTGGGCCTGCACAATGTTCAAACTCTACTTACTTTTATCATATCACTCTTTGATCATATCATTTATCATGGAAGTGGAACGATGACACACAACAAATGATAACAGCTGATCATACCGACATTGTACACTGTTCACGCTTGAAAGCAAGCATGAAGCGAGCCTGATGCTGAGGGGCCATTCTCGTTGTCGGAAGCAACTGTTGCGGGCAGGGGTTCCGGTGGAGGCTCAGTCTTAACCTTGAATTGGTCCTCCCAAAACCGTTTGCCCGATTCCGAAAGTGGCTGACACTTCATGGACTGTGGAGAATTGCCTCCTGATTGGGTCACAGTCTTGCGGACCTTGCGAGTCCTAGGTGTGCGCTGACGTACAGCAGCGGCATCAAATGAAGAAGAGTCTGAAGAGTCAACAACGTCAACGTTTTGACTTTGACTCTGACCATCATTTGGTAGTGGTGGTGGAGGCGCCGTTGCTTTTGGAACTGCTTTCGCTTTCCCCTTAGCATTCGCCGTAGGCTTAGCCTTAGCCTTAGGCTTGGCCTTGGGTTTCGGGGATTGCACAGCCCCACGTTTTCCCATGCTGCCGGATCGGTTCGATTCAAGTTGCAAATGATCAACTCAGCTTGGGCCTCAAATATCTATCAGCCATAGGCACAATGTCGATTCATGATCCAAGTTGATCCTGTGACTTGGAGCTGTGAGTGCGACAGACCGAATGCGGGGGCAGGATTTTGTTCCCCAAGCTTGTGTGGAGTTTCCCACGGTCCATTGCCAATGAGATAAGACAAGACTCGACATCGCGAATTTGCCCTGCGATGATTGGTGCTTGTTGTAATCATCCGTCATCTTTGGGAAAAGCTCGAGGAATTCATTGGGAACAGCAAAGAAAGCAAACAAAACTTGAAACATATGGAATCCTGATTATTAACTAATTAACAATAAGCATAAAAGTAAGAATGCATAATATATAGTATATTTTAAATTTAGATGATGAAAACAGGAATTCACGCCCCGAGCAGTAAGGACATCCTTGAAGGCATTGCCCGAACTTCAGATGACATCACATCTAAGACTCTAAGAATCAAAGATCGTCAGATCGTCTAACTGTCTAACTATTGATCCGGATGTGTCTCGACGGACCATATCAGTTGCCTCCTGACCCCGACAATTTCGAAGCTATTGCTTGTAGGCCAGGAGGAATCTCAAGGGAATGATCCTGCGCTACTTTGATTGAGGCTGCGATAATCTTTGCACTCTTCTCACTCAAGGCACTGCCTGTGGCAATGCTACGGAGGACAGCTTTTGAGCAAACACAGCCGAAGACGTTGCCTGCCGACCTTGAAATTTGGCTGACACAAACTGCTCAATGTTTGGGCTTGAACAGTCCGATGATATCCGCCTGGGAAAAGGAAAAACGATTGGTCCTAAATTAACAACCAAGGCTCAACCATGTTAGGCATTCACGCCGAAGGCATTGAACCTTTGTGGTGTCATACACCTCTTGCGCAGAGCATCCAATCTTTTTGGCGATGTGTTTGATGGTGTTCTCAGCCTCCTCCAGCAAATGACAAGATTCCCCCACCGCTTCAGTGAATTCAAGAGGGAAAGCAGGTTTGTGTTGTTGCTGCGCTGCCAATGATCCAATCTCTGACACATTGGCAAGCTTCAACACCTCGTCAGGAATTGAGAGCTTTGAGTGCATCTTCTTGTGCTCTTCAATGTAGGTCTTCTCAACGCTGTCAGCAATGCTTTTGAGTAAGGCAACAGCCTGGCTCCAAAGTTCCTTCAAACTGCCGACGATGGTCTCGGCTAGTCTCTCCCCCAGCGCATCCTTGTAGCCCATAGCAACGAAAGATGCTGAGAGATCATTTCGGACAAGGTCTGTCTCGTTCGTGTGCATCAAAGGCCGCAAGAGCTTGATACCATGCAAAACCACATCACTTGCCTGCTCATCCGGATTGGCTGTGGCAAAGGCTGACTTGCATGTCATAGCAGCTTCCATGATGGACAAGCCCCTCCGCAAGATTTGCCCTGTTCCGCCAAGAACGCTGCTCAAGCGACATGCTTCTTCGCAATGGGATCCAAACAATTTCAACCTTTCGTCATTGACTTCCAAAGTAAAGCCATCGGTGGAAAAGGTCTCCTCGATCATTTTGGTGCACCGCTTAGCCGCATCAGCCGCCTGTGTATTCACACAGGTTTGCAACGCAGCATGCACACGTTCCGAAGCTTTTGCAAGACAAGTCTGCATCTCCTGAAAGATAGAGACCTGAAAGTTCTTTGTGCCCTTCACTGCTCCGGTGATTGATTTGATGTGCTTTTTCCACTCAACCAAGCAGGACTGAGAATCATCAGGCTTTGCATCACCCTTGAATGTAGCATTGATGTTCTCGACCAATTTGGATGGGATGAAGCTGGCAAAGGATTTTATTTCCTTCACAACGTTGGAGGCTTCTGGAACATCCAAGAGCTGTAAGATGCAAGCGTTGTCCCCAACTAAGGTGAACATTTTGGCATCAAGTTCTTGCTTTGCGTCAATTGCCTCACCCAAAGACACAAGACACTTCGTCATGTCATTGCTCACAAACGCCTCCACAGCATGTAGCACCACTGTCTTGACCAAGCACTGTAGCTTGGTAAGCTGGTCACGATCAGCTCCTTTCAGGCCGCGCACTCCTGGGTTGAATCGGATTCAATGATGTTGATGGAAATTGAAATTGACAATGTCAAAAAACAAAAACTCACTACTGATATCGCTGATATGATCTATTGCATTCACCCCCGTCCTTGGCCATTTGAGGCTTTAATAGCTCTCATAATGCTCTTGCCAGCTTCCACTGTGAATGTTCCGGGTTCGCTGTGCTTTGCCTCAATGACCTCAAGAGCAGTCAAAGCCTCCCGGACAATGGAGATGGTCTCTGTTTGGGCCTCCCGCTTCTCTGCATTCTCTTTGGCAAAGTCCAGGGTTCGCTTGCCATTCTGAAGGTTGAATGCCTGCACAACCCAGTGCTCCCAAAGATAGCTGGACTTTACAAAAGCCCCTGTTGCTTCTTCAACCGACGTCGGTGATGACGTAACATCGAGGATGATCTGCAAGTACATCAGGGCCTGCTCGTCTGACTCGTTCGATGCAACCTTGGATTTCTCCTTGAACATCTCTTTCGCAAACCCACATACGAAATCAAGAGAGTCCGTGGAAACCTTGTTCACATTCTTCACAAGCCTTTGAAGGAGCTGACTGCTCAACAAAGTGAAGTACTGCTTCCCACTGCTCTCCCCCAAGTGGTGCAAGCAGTGCTCATACGTCTCCGTGAAGAACTTATCCCATTGAGCCAGCTTCAGGTCCTACCATTGATCAATGAATTTGCTAGAAAACTGTGAATCTCTCAAACATGTTGCATATTTATTTGTATATGAAACGATCATATGCTGTACCTTTTACTACCTGAACTTGGTGACATAAGGTGTATTCAGTGTATTCTATGGTTGGACTCCTCAAACGCGATAGCACGCAGGCATCGCTTCCACATATGTTCTGACGGCTGCGCACCATCTGACTCAGCAAAATTGCAGAGCTTCTCATAGATGTCGCGACCCTTGGAAGCACTTTGGATCAAGGACTTCAGGAATTCAAGCATCAGAGTTGCTTGGCCAATGATGTGGTCCAAGGAGGATAGTACATCGTTGGCGTCATTCTTCCGACGGTTCAATGACTTCTTCTTGGCCATCACACCTGCGCAAAAAAATGCTTAACTTAAGTTCAACACATTTAAAATTCAACACACTTTAGTCTTGAAGTTTGAACTTAAATTCAATACCAAATCAACTAGCGCCCAAGCACCTGACTTGAGCTCGCCAAGTTTACTCACGCGTGACTTAGCCCATGGGACAAAGCCATTGTCATCAGCAGATGGAGGATCCAAATCACTCAAATCATTCAATTGCTTCTCATATGACTCCACCGGTAGCCTGTCCTCCTGCCCAGCAGGCACAGGAGCGGGCGCACGGAAAGGTTCGGGGTCATCATCCTCAGCAGCATCTTCTCGTTTCCTTTTTGGACCTCCAGTGCCGCCCTTACTGCCAGAACCCTTTGTGCTCTTAGTGTTCCTGGCAGATTTGATAGCCATGGATGGCTTAGGATCCTCAAAAGTTCTCTTTGTCGCCTTCATCCGCTGAAAGAGGTTGGCAAAAGGCTGAGGGTTGGTCATCCACTCAGGCTCATCATCGTCATCCTCCTCCCCCTCCTCTACTTCATCAACAGTGGGATCACATAAACTGCCATCACCACCTCCAACACCACCACCTGTGATCTTGACACAGTTGGATACATCAGCCACATTGTTCAGATGTTTCAACGCTGCGCTGTGGACCGAGGCAGTCTGGTCGGCACTCAAGGTTGTTTCCGGTGTTGACAACTGAGTGGTTCTGTTGACCTCTGTAGCTGCCTCATCAATATATTGATATTTTCCAATATCCTCCCAGGGTTCGCACGTTTTGTCATTACACTAGAACCATCATTGTTCTATTCCAAAAATACTAAAAGT